ATGTTCATTACAGCATTATTCACAGTGGCCAAGACATGGAAACAACCAAAGTGTCCCTATATAGATGATTGGACAAAGAAGGTGTGGTATGTATATATACAATGAAATACTACTCAGCCATAAGAAAAGATAAAATACTGCAATTTGCAACAACATGGATGGATCTTAAGAATATCTTGCCAAATAAAATAAGTCAGACAAAAAAAGTCAAGAACCATATGATTTCATTCATATGTGGGATATAAAACTAAAAGCAACAAATGAACAAACAAAAAGACAACAACAAAATTTATAGACATGGAAAATAGTATGGTGGTTACCAGAGAGAAGGTGAGTAAGGGAGAGTAAAGGGTAAAGGAGAGAAATATATGATGATGAAAGAAGATTTGACTTTGGGTGGTAAGCACACAATGCAATATACAAGTGATATAGTATAGAATTGTACACTTGGAACCTATATAACTGTATTAACCAATGTCACCCCAATAAATTTAATTTTAAAAAAGAGGGAAAAAAACCTGACTTTTCAACAGAAACAAAGCCTAAAGAGAAGGGGGTAATATGTTAAAATACAAAAAGAAAAGATCTGGGAACTGATAATTCTATATTCAAAGAATACAAACTTCAGGAATGAAGGCAAAATAAAGACATTTTCAGACGCAAAAAAAATTAAGAGAATTCATTATCAGCACAGAAATCCTAAAGGGAGTTCTTCAGGCAGAAGGAAAGTCTCAGCTATGAAGGAAGGAATGAAGAACACCATAAAGGGTAAAATATGTATGTAAATATAAATGAATAATAATTGTACAAAACAGTAATAACAATGTCATGTGGGGTGTGAAATATCCACAGAATTAAAATGTGTGACAATAATAATCCCAAAGGTGAGAGGCTATAAATGAAAGTGTTCTTAGGTTCTAGTATTATCAGAAAATGGTAAATATAGTCATTTTTATTAGACTAAAAAATCAAGGATGTATATTATAATATGTAGGATGACCACTAAAGTGAAGTAAAAGAATGTTATAACTAATTAATGGAGGATAAAAGTGGAACAATAAAACATAGCTGATAAATTCAAAAGAAGGCAAGAACAGAGAGACAAACATAAAACAAGTGAGTCAATAATAGAAAAATACAAAAAAATAAATTTAAAAAAGAAGTGGGTCAAATAGAAAGCAAAAAGATGGCAGCAATATCTCACATATATCAACAATTACAATAACAATAAATGTAATTGGACTAAATAAGCCAATTAAAAAGATTACCAGCCTATAGCTGCAACAGACACTGTGGTTAGAGACATCTGTCTTCAAATCCTTTTTCTGATACTTACTGTGTGACTTTAGGCATGCTACTTAACATCTGTGAGCTTTGCACTCTTTATCTGTAAAACCAGCATAATGACAGCCAGCAACCTAAGAGTGTCTGGGAGAGCTGGATTTGGGTAATGTATGTAAAACACTCATCTGTAAAATGGGTACCACAATAGGACCAACCTCACTGGGTCATTGGGAGAGTTAATTTAAGAAAAGCACCTTTACAAGTGTTTGACACATGGCAGGTAGCCAATAAATATTGGTCATTCTGACTGTTGTTGTTAATACCCCATAGATGCTAGTTAGTATAAATGATTCCAAGCTCTTGAACATCATCCTCAGCTGCCTACTGGACATCCAAGTTTAGCTAGACACAGGCATCTTAAACTAACATGTTCAAAACTGAACCTTTTCTCTTCTTCAAACCCTTCAACATTCCTCCTGCTACAGTAGTTCCAAAGCCTGGTTGCAACTTGGAATCACCCAGTTATCTTTACAAAATCCTGATGTTGATTTAGTTGGTCTGGAATGACACCTGGATGGTAGAATATGAAAAGTTACCCAGGTGAATCTAATGTGCAGCCAAGTTTGGGAACCACTGCCTGCCATTCAGAACCATTAACCTAAGTTACTTTCATATTTCTTTCCAACATGCCATCCCAACTACTGCTACCTTATTTGAGATACTCATCACCTCGTTCCTTGACTACTGTGCTAGCCTCTCCACTGGTCTTCTTGCCTCGAATCTCTCTGGCCTCCAGTCCTTTCTTCCATGCCAGGGAGTGCAAACTTTTGGAAAGGGCCAGATGGTAAATATTTTTAGTTTTGTGGGCCATGCAATCTCTCTTGCAGTTACTCAGCTCTGCCACTATAGCACAAAGGCAGCTGCAATACATAAACAAATGAACATGGCCAGATTTGGCCCGAAGGAGGCCAGGGCAGGTCACTCTTTGCCTACCCTTGATCTATACACAGGAGCAAAAGGAAGTGGGCTTTAGTGTCTTAATTTCAAGACTGAAAAGGTGTAGGGCCCTATCTAGCCAAGGTGGAATATCTTACTTCTTACGTAACTATGACCAGAAGAGTCTTCCTCAGGCCCTTCAGTTACCCGTGGCTTGCAGGGACATCTGTCAGTCCTTTGTGGCCTTTATTTTCATACACTCGTTATATTTTATTTTTCATCTATTCCTGGGCTGGTCTTGCCATCCTCTCCTGAAATTCTTTTGCTCATTTCTCTTAGGCACTAAACCTTCTCTGACTAGAGAGAGTATTCACCCTTGGCATCAACTCCTACTAAAATGCAGTTCCAATCTTAATGACATAATTTTATTTTTTTCAAGAGTCTATTCCCTTATCTTGAATTCTATGTCAATTTGTGTCATCCAAATAGATACTAAACTTCATGAGTTCAGCGACCTTACCTTTTTAGTTAGTGTTGGCATGGCATATCCTAAAGTCACACAGCAAGTATCAGAAAAAGGATCTAAAGACAGATCTCTCAGTCCTGGCTGGCATAGCTCGGTGGATTGAGCGCGGGCTGCGAACCAAAGTGTCGCAGGTTCGATTCCTAGTCAGGGCACATGCCTGGGTTGCAGGCCACGGCCCCCAGCAACCGCACATTGATGTTTCTCTCTCTCTCTCTTTCTCCCTCCCTTCCCTCTCTAAAAATAAATAAAATCTAAAAATATTTAAAGACAGATCTCTCTAACCTCAATGTCTGTTGCAGGGAAAGCCACAAGGGAGGTGATGTTGCCTAGGAAGACATTCTGGAAACACACGGAGGCCAAGGCAGAAACTTGGAGAATATTCAATGCACAGGCAGGGAAGGAAGAGTCCAAAAAGGATGGGAGCAAGGGGGAGGAATAGAATAGAGAGACACAGCAAAAACAACAAGCAAACAAAACCTCATGAGAGTTCTGAGTTCCAAGTTAAAAGATTAAAAGAAGCACCAAGAAATAACCCACTGATATAGCAATGAGGACATGGCTGGAGAGGTAGAATTAGAAACCAGATTTTGGTGGATCTGAATGAAGAAGATAAATAAGTTATGATTGTTGCCTATTCTTTTAAGAGGTCTGGCTATTGCCCTGGCTGGTATGGCTCACTTGGTTGGGCATCATCCCACAAACTGAAACGTCACTGGTCAATTCCCAGTCAGGGCACATGCCTAGGTTGCAGGTTCAGTCACTGGTTGGGGCAAATATGGAAGGCAACTGATTGATGTTTCTCACTCACATCAATGTTTCTCTCCCTCTCTTTCTCTCTACCTTCCCCTCTCTCTAAATAAAAATAAAGTTAACCCTGGCTGGCGTAGCTCAGTGGATTGAGCGTGGGCTGGGAACCAAAGTGTCCCAGGTTCGATCCCCAGCCAGGGTACATGTCTGGGTTGCAGGCTATAACCCCCAGCAACCGCACATTGATGTTTCCCTCTCTCTCTCCCTCTCTCTCTCCCTCTCTCCCTCTCTCCCTCTCTCTCCCTCTCTCCCTCTCTCTCTCTCTCTCTCTCTCTCTCTCTCTCTCTCTCTCTCTCCCTCCCTTCCCTCTCTAAAAATAAATAAATAAAATATTAAAAAAAATAAAGTTAAAAAAATAAGAGGTCTGGCTATTAAAGGAAGATGTAAGAATAGTGACTACAGGAAGATACAAAATTAAAAAGTTATTTTTCTTTCCTTTCTGAAAATGAATGTAATTTAACCACATTTGTATCATATGAGAAAAGAGCCAGGTCTTGGCCGGGTAGCTCAGTTGGTTAGAGCATTGTCCAAATACCCCAAGGTTGCAGGTTCAATCCCTGTCAGGGCACATACAAGAATCAACCAGTGAATACATAAACAGTGGAACAGCGAATGATGTTTCTCTGTTTCTCTCTCTCTCTCTTCCCCCACCCTTTCATCTCTCTCTAAAATCAATAATTATTTTAAAAAGAACCAGATAACAGGAAAAGGTTGAAGACTCAGAAGAAAACAGAAGAAAGACAGGATATTTTATAATTACGGTCTTTGAAGAGGCTGCAGCTCTAATAGGAAGCGACTAGTGACTTCTTTCCTTCATGTGGAAAGAAAGGAGGCAAAGTGATTGACAGGATGAAGTTTGTATACAGGGGTAATAAGTAGATGAATATGTTGCCCTATAGCTTGTATCACTTCCATTATCTGCTTGGCAGGAGGAGAGGACATAACTTATTTTTATCATCTTTTACAAAAGCATTGGTCTGCACCATACTGGAAAAACAATTAACTGGTCCTATACAACAACTAGGTTGAGAAGCATTACACTAGACTATAAAGGCGAGAACATTCCAGAAAAGAGGATGTCAAGGTAGACTAAGAACTATGAGCTTTGGACAGTCTGCCTATAAGGAGAGAAGGGTTGCCCAGTAGACCCTGGGACTCAGTATAAAAAGATAACAATGGCATGAACCAGCCAGAAAACAGACAGATGTTGGCAAGGAGGAGAGCAGACCGTGATTATTCATCTTGATCAAGTAGTAGTAATTTGCTACAAAGAACAGGAAATTAGGTACTATTCCTAGTGACTAGACTTTACTAAGGAGAACACCCCACCCAGCCACAATGTGGCCCTACACAGAATGGATTGATCCCTGGCTGAATTCATCAAACAGAGCACAGAAATCCCTCCCCGAATGCAATTTTCCATCATGCAAAATTCTAGCACACATACCTTTTCAGCAACTGGGCGCATTTCAGTTCCAGCATACGTAAATTTAGAGTCACTCCTTTTGGAGACAAATTAGAAAAAAAAGGGAACAATAAAACCTTAGCAGAGACAAACAAAGAGAAGGGACAGTAAACTGAAGCTAAACCTGTGCCCATACATTCATTAGTAGCAGTCTGGGACACCCATACATGGCTGAGTGCATAAAGCTTTCATGGGCAAAGCTAAACTCCTATACTCCTTGGTATTAAAGAGGTGGGTTTGAGAGTGCACATCCTGCCATTCTTCAAAGTTAGAATTAAAATAACCCAAAGTTTTCACCACCTCAAGCATCCAAGCTACTGGGGATCTCTGAGATCATTATAGGGCTCACAATGGGGAGGCAGAAAGCCATGGAGATGGAAGAGCCAATTTAGATGGAGGAATAGATCAATAGGGGGAAGTGTCTGTTAATATGCATATTATCTGCCACAAAAGATTACCAGTTTCTCATTGCCATTTTAGGAAAAGAGAACATAAAACATATCAAGCAAGAAAATGGAAAGTAACAGCACCATATCAGTCAACAAAATTCTATCTGTAAGAGCTTTCACAGATTCACTCAATCTTGTTTCCCTCAACTACATTTTTCACATAAGATGATACATATCTCAACTAAAAATCCTCCTACCAGGAAGTAGGATGGGAACCAACCTTCAGGGTTGGGACTTTACTCAAAGCGTCCATTGAGGGAGCTCTGGACTGATAATGGTAACTTAAAATATAATCCATAAAAAAATGCAACCCATACACAATATTGCTGAGCTTGTCATAATCCTGAGTTAATAATGACATATAGACCAAAAAACATGAGTAAACAAACATTGTCTTACCTTGGGTCATCATTCAACTAAAGTGGGAAAGAGGAGAAAACATTATTTATCATATTACACTTATTTGATATAATGGATGCACATTATATGAAAATTAAGTCATATGGGCCTGTACGAGGGCATGAAAAACTGGATAATTTTTAATTCGGATTGTAAACAACTAAGGTCTATTTCCTCATCCTCTCTCGCCCTTCTGCAACACCTAACGCTGCGGAAACTTACGCGTCTTTGAAACCCTCTCCTGTCAGGTTGATACAATTAAAATGTGTCCTAGAGGGAAGACAGGAGGTGAGGTAACGGACCCTAATAGTGGTCAATAGTTTCTTAATACACTGATGTCCTATTATACCATAATGCCTTTCTGCCCTGACCTGCGGTTTTGGTCAGTGGGGCGATAGCTCCAGATTTAAAGAAGAGGCCGGAGATTAATACAAAAGAAAGCCCTCCTCCATCCTCAGACTTATGCAGAATGCTTGGGGAGACATGAGGCTAAACAAGCGTCAAGCAACCACATATCAGCCCCTTGCGATAAGGCCATCCAAAGGATCTGTCAAAGGATCTAACTCAGGATCTAAGCCTATAGCCTCCGCAGCCCTAGGCGCTAACATCGACTCCAAGGACACGCTGGACTGCTCATCAGGGTTCCAGCTAGGCTAACTGACCTACTCACCTCCCCTATACACAGTCCCATCACTTCCTCCTTCTCTGTGCTCAGAGCGTGGTTGAGACAAACTAGGAAAGCATCCGACTCAAGATGAACTGCCTGCACCGCCTGCACCACCTGCACCGCCATCTTGGTCCGACGCTGCTCACGTCCGCCTCAAGCCTTCACAGGCCTGAACAACCCGGAGCTCCAGCAAGCGGGTTCCGCGGAGGCGGGACTTGGGGGGCGCGGGCGGGGCGGGAGCCAGGCTGGAGCGTGGAGGCGGAGCTTGGGAGCGGGGGCGGGGCGGCCCGGCGGCACCTGGGAAACGCCCGCGCCGGTTGGGGCAAGGCGTGGCCGTCGGGACGGAGGGCGGTGGCCGGCCGCTGACGGGGCTTTAGGCCGGGCGGCGGGGGCGGTGGGGGTGGCTGGGAGGCGGTGCTCTCGGGCTGTAGGCGGACGTGGTACGTGAGCGGCTCCGGGGCGGTCGGGTAGGCGTTTCCCCTGCGCCGTCGCCCATTTTGCCCGCCCGCTAAGGAGCGCATTACGCGGCCTACACGCTCTGGGTGCAGTCCGGAGGCTGCATCGTCGCGCGCACCAGCCCCTTGAGCTAGTGGGACGGTCTTTGAAATTTAGTCCTAGGATAGTTAAGGTTTTATTTTGTTTTGTTTCCAAGTTACGGCCCCAGAATTTTGTACCACTCTCCCTGGACCTCTTCCGGTTGCCGGCACTTGCCTCGTAACTTCGGTTCGGGTGACCTCGGCCCTGATACCAGCTTGATTGGCCCGAGGTGGGGACCTGGAAGTTTTAGCCTCTCTGATCTCGAGGCGGATTAATTAGCCCAAGAAACATTATATTCATGTGAGTAACCTCTTGCAGAAAGTGCTCTACTCTATCTGAAAAAGTATCATTGTTAAGCTGGGCTGCTGCTACTTTCTTCAAAGGCTTTTAAGTATCTGTTACGGGGAAGGGGACTTCAGTTTTGATTCAAGGTCGGGTGTATCACAGTAGTTACCCACCTTTCTCTGCTCTCCTTGTCTTGATGCTCAGACATGGTGAAATTATAGGTAAAAGTGATTTTCTTTTGACGTATGCCTACGGTGCCATGGGTTGAAAGTACAGATCTTTTAACTCCGAAGTTTAGGAATTGCACGTGGATTTTAGGAACGATTCTAAATCAAAGAAAAATATATGCCTTGCCGCCTCTACAGCCTATCAGTGTTTTATGTTTTGTTTGATCTCATTTTCCCTGTGTAGTTTTGAAGCCAGGCAGACCTGGAAGTACTGGAAAGGGAACATTCCCAAGGTGCTACCTAAGCGGTGTTGATGCTTTGCTCTTTTCTCCCAAATCAGTTCCAACACAAGTTTCCTCACAGATAAGGCCCTCATACAGTAGAACTATTTGGTATGCATTCCAGTAACCTCCATTTTTGCCAAATGCTTAAGGATCACATGGCATATCTCTCCACGATAAATGTTGATAATGAAGCTTGGGAGAAATTTTAAGTTTGCAATTACATTGGACCCATATAAATATTTTCCTAAGTTTCGATTTTGCTCCATATATTATTTTCAATTACTGTTTGTGGCTAGTATGCTTTGCCCTGATGGGGCAAGAATGGCTGTTATTATGTTTAGTCATGGGATATTTTGAGTTTATAAATTGTTTTTAGGCACCTTCGAAAAGAAAAACACCTTTGTTGTTGATTTTGATCTTATAATCTAGAGTGACATCCTCTAAATTTTATAATGCTAATGGCTGCATTTTACAACTCTAAATGTTTAATTGGAGTAGAAAAAACTACTAACATTTATGGCAAACTTATTATGGATTAGACAATCTACTAAACATGTATATACCTTTTATATGTAAACTGCCCCAATTGGAATCAGGCTCTGGAACTTCCTAGCAGTGTAACCTCAAGCAAGTTACCTAACTTCTTTGTGCCTTACTGCCCTCATCTTTAAGGGGGGGAAATAATCAGGTGAGTACAAAGATTAAAAGCATCTATATATAAAACTTTAAGAAGTGCTAAATAAGTGTGACTATTATGATCAATATGTTCTCTAATTCCCATTTTATGCCTCAGAAAACTGAGGCGTAGAAAGGTTAGCTTGTCTGAGGTCACAAAGCTAGCAAGTGGCAAAATCAGCATTTATACACAGGCCAGGCTGACTCCAGGCCTTTTGTTCTTGGTAACCTCACCCATTATAATTGGGTGAGTTCATTAATTGACTTAAAATTAAATAAGTGTATCCAACTGATTAATGTTTAAAACTGTTAAAAAAACCCTGGAAATTAAATTATCCTTTTAAAAAGACAATAATTCATTCTATAAAGGAAAAGAAATGGTCTTATTCAGACTAGTACCTAAGGAAGCTTTCTATGTAGTGTATCATCCATTTAAGATATAATTTAGAAAATGCCTTACTAAGAAATAGTCTCTCTAGGCCAGTGTGGTCTCTGTGGCATCGAGGTGACCCCCATGGGGACAATCTCTTTTAGTGCCTTCATGGATGATAAAACTGTATAAAACACTTTAAAATCCATTGGAATTTGCAGCTGGTAGTATTCCTTGAGTTGAGTGGAACAGGTTTATGTTCTGTGTAGTATATTGCTCCTTGTGCTTCAGTTTATTTTGAGGTTTTAAGAGATTCATCCTAGTTCAAGGGGTCCTGAATTTTGTGAGCAAGTGTCACATGCAGAGAAATGTTCTCTAGTCAAATAAATTTGGGAAACATTAAACAAAATAAAGTTTCTTTTCTTTATAACTTGCCAGAGCTTTTGCTATGTTAATGTGCTTTATGACTCTCAAGATTCCCAAACTTATTTGACCAAGGAAAAAGTTAGGGGCAAGTATTCCAAGAATCACATTTATACAACCTGTAATTTTGTGGGCTTTGATCTCAATCCCTCTCACTCAGCCTTTGCGTTTCTCCACTGAGGATGTTAGTTTATGTTCATACCACAGCTTCTCAGTCCCTTGATCACTGCAGTTGCCTTTTACTGGGCCTTCATGCTATCTCTGAGTGGGAGCATACACAACTCCAGGGTCATCCTGCTGATGCCCAGCTTATTGCCTTTTAGATCACAGCAGCATACCATGCTGCCTTTCTTCTAAGAATATTTTGTAATGATACAGTTGCCAGGACATATCTGTGAAGTTGAGGTGGCCCCGAAATCTGAAACACTTGGTTTCTACTTTTTTTTAAGTAGTCACACTTATTTCTTTTGTATTTGAAATCCAGATTTTAATATATTTTATTTTGACATTAACACTGGGGTTTTGTTTGTATCGCTCCTCAAAAATCTGGGGAGGAGGAGAGGCAGAACAATTGTATGTGCTAAATGGAAAAAATAGCTTTGAAAATATATATATATATAACTATATAAAAATCACACCTAGAGATTCAGTCTCTACTCAAGTATATAGGGCCTTCATCTGTTTCCCCTCTGTACTCACCATATATATCCACCTACTTACAGGAATATTATTTGACTAGTATTTGAGATTTAGGGTGCCCTGTACTGTATCATTCCTGCTATTGAAGAGCTTATAATACTGTATTTGGGGAGAGACAGTACTTCACAAATAAGCAAAGCAAATACGCAATGCAATTTATAATTAGATGCCAGAATATGAGCTTTAGTTTAGACATAAATGCTATAGTAGCCAGAGAGGCAAGAAGCTTTTATAGAGAAGGCAGGTACCTGCACTCTGCCATACTTAATAGTACTGAGGTAGAGAGGCCTGAAGAAGCATTTTAGGCAAGTGGAAAGCAAGATCAAGAATATGGGGCTAAAAATGAGCCTGGTATTTGGGAGAAAGTTTATCAAATATGTTGGTAGTGGTGCTTCCTGGAATTGGCGGCAGATAGAGTGTAGCAACTGAAGTTGATGAAGAATTCCAAGAGAACTCGTAAATTTCAGCAGGCTCAGGAGGGGTGTTGTTCCCATTGAGAGAAATCAGAATTTATTTAAGGAGAAGGGGTTTCACTTTATATGAATTTGAAATATGAGAGTCATATAATATGGGAAATTTGAAATGAGAGTGTCCTATAAGGTGGGAGCTTATGACGGGCTCAGAGGGTACAATGGGCAAAACAACTGTGATGTTCTTAAATTACTCGCTAAAGTCAGACCATTTCTTAAATCTATAAAAAATATTTTCTGCTTTCCTTTTAAAGGAAGATAACTAACAGTGTTTAGAGGGGGAAAAATCAGACTCATTGTTGTCTTTGAAAAAGGGGCTTGGTTTAACTCAATTCTTTCTGGCTAACTTTGTCCTGGGCTGCATCATACTGTGTTCTGGCATCTCATTTGCTTTTGACAGTCTCACTTGAGGGTTTAACAACTTCCCAAGCTGTGCTGCACTTCCTTTCCTACCTAATGACCACCTAATGGGAATAGGAGGCCTTTCTTTTGGGGGGGTAAGATCCCCCAGTGGTGTATCTCTGTGCTCTGCCAAAAGTAGAAACACAGTGTAAACCATGCTGTACGAAGTGCAAAATGCAGGTGAAGTTATTGTAAGGCCCTGAAATGAGATCCAGAGTTGGACAGAGCATCGTTGTAGGTTTAGAGCCTATTCTGCCTTATGTAAAGAGCTTGCCCAGGATGGGGGGTTTCCTCTATACCTCTCAAAGGGCAGAGGAATTTTTCTGGCCTTTTGACTTGGAAAATCAGAATTTAAACTCACGCTAGTATGGAAAATGGGCTCCTGTGACATCCTGAAGCATTATGAAAATGAAACAAGGACCTAGATGGATAACTATCATTTTCTCTCACTTAGCTCCAAATCACCATGATCCCCACAGTCTCTTGTAGCTCAAAAATTCTATGAAGCTATCTTAAATATTTTCCCTAATATGAAAACCCTCTTCTGGTAATGCCCATCTGCTATAGGTAACCTTTTTAAGTAAACTGATAAATACATTGTTTGCTCTTAAACTTTTAATTTCAATTTAGAAAGTCATGCAAATGATTCAGCTTTCACAATCTTAACCTTTTAAAATGAGAACTGCTTTTACGTGGGGAATATGGCATCCATGTACCTGTTATACTGCATTCCTACCAAATAAGCGTGCCCTTAGGCACACTCCTGTGCATATTCTGTTGCTGACTATATTTTGTAAGACATTGCTTTGTGAATGCAGGCTTGAGATCACTGCCAGCTTCCGGTGCTGCTATGAGGGGGCCCCAAAAAACATAATTTGTTTATAAAATAATTGTATATATATTCTTACATGTTTAAACTTCAGTCACCTTCAAAGTGCTCTCCATTTGATGCTATACACCTATCAAGACATTTTTTCTACTGCTCAAAACAGTTTTTGAACTCGTCAATTTTGATGCTTTTTAGTGTTTCTGCTGTTTTTTGTTTCACTTCTTCCACATTGGCACATTTCCCTTTGAAGACTTTTTTCATCCAGGGAAACACAAAAAAAATTTGCTCAGGGCAAGATTGGGTGATTAGAGAGGGTGGGGCATGGAAGTCATGTCATTTTTGGTCAACAACTGCTGAAAACTCAGCAAGGTGTACTTGTAAATCATCCATCATGAAATGGGCAAATGCATCGAAAGAGTCTTCAAAAAAATCGCTGAAGCTAAACACAGCCTCTCCCAACAAGGCTGGCTGGTATGCTGATACAGATGGGTTCCTAGAACACTCTCCTAGTGGGGGAAGCCTCTGCTACAGGGGGCCCATCCTCTAGAAGATGCCAGTTGTTTGGGGGGTCCCCACTCATAGTCCTACATTTTCACAGAACTCCTTACCTAACTGAATCCTTGAGTGCTTTGTAGTCAACCCAGGGCTCTGCTTGAGTGTCACTTCAGTGTCTTGCAGGGAGCTTCAGATGTCCTTGGTTCTTTTTAGGCTGTTAAGTAGACATATATGAGGTTTGGTACTGGTTGGTGGTTGCTAGTACCAGGTCACCTTGCTCACTGGTGAGTTCATTCAAACCCAAAAAGTCACACCTGTGTCCTGTGCGCGGGTGCTGCAGGCTTAGGTGGAGAAAAGCAGGGCTAGAATTGGAACTCAAAGCCCAGAATGGCAGGAGAGGATGTGGGGGCTCCACCCGATCACCTCTGGGTTCACCAAGAGGGTATCTACCGCGACGAATACCAGCGCACGTGGGTGGCCGTCGTGGAAGAGGTAACTGTTTACATTTTGCTTATTTCTTTATTGATTTTGCTTTCAAGAAATTTGGTTTGTAACTAGCCTCAGTATCCTAAAGTCTTCGGTTTTATTTTTGATCATTTTTTTCCATTAGGGGACGAGTTTCCTAAGGGCACGGGTCCAGCAAGTTCAGGTTCCCTTAGGTGACGCAGCTAGGCCAAGTCACCTTCTTACCTCCCAGCTACCTCTCATGTGGCAACTCTACCCCGGGGAGCGCTACATGGATAACAACTCCCACTTGTGGCAGATCCAGCATCATTTAATGGTACACATGTTGCTTAATCATTTTTCATTGTATTGGGACTTTTACAGCAGAGTACTCTATAAACTTTTCTTTTTCTGACAGGTCAGGGGAGTAGAGGAGCTGTTGCTTAAGCTTTTGCCTGATGATTAACCTGGTATGTATTTTTGTTTCTCCACTGTCTCTCCTTCGTCTTCTTAAGTCTTTTTGGTTGTGGTGATTTTAATGATCTGTTTTTCTTCCAGGTGCTGGAATTCTAGGAAGATATGCTCCTCTGATCTGTTCAGTATATGGCAATCACTTCATCCACCACTGCAGTGCACCCACCTGTGGGCCTGGGGGAGGGAGTGGGTTGAAAAACTGCTCAAGAACACAGAAGTTTAGGAAGGGTCATGAAGAGCACCTCAAGTGGAACTGCAAAGAGAGGGTTACGCAGGCAGAAAGCAAGTCAACAAAGCACTTAGTCAGGATACGTAACTTGAAATTGACTCCATTGGAAGTTGCCATAGAACCTTTAATGGACATCATCAGCTGGAACTGGGATCTGATGAATCCCACAAAAGTCAGCACCTGCTACAGAACAGATGATCTGATCACCAAGGACTTGGTACTGATTTAGAGAGAAGAGAGCAGCTCCTAGCAGCATCAACATCTATTGGTCGCTTATTTGCCCTGTAGCAATTCACCTGCCTTTCCTTCTCCCATCCTGTAAATATTCTAGGTTTTGCTCCAGTGTTTCCCATCCCAGTACTGGCCTAACTTGGATCTACTGAGAACTTAGGGGGATCTGGGGTGGGGGAAGAGGTCATTTGCATTAATGAAATCAGCTACAAAGGCTCCTGGGCCTTTTTTCTTTCTGAAATTGTGTCTTCAAATTATTAGAAGTTGCTGATCAAAATCATGGGCACTTAAGTTCATTCTCTGGTTATAGATATTTTAAATAGTCTTTTCTGTAAGAGCTCCAAAAAACATTTTAGCTGCTTAACTAGCACCTTTCTCAGGGCCAAATATTGCTGCTTCCTAGGAAAGCATTTACTGCCTGATAAAGAATTTCCTGAGTTAAATAGCTATAACAGTTTATATGTAAAAACCTTAGTTTTACTTTTTAAAAATCTTGGGAACAATAGCTACCATGTAGCAAGTCCTTACTGCCTTCCAGACTCTATTCTATGCACTTTGTATACTTTATCACATTTAATTCTTCCATCAATGCTTTGAGGTAGGTAAGATCCCCAGTTTACACACAAATGATAAGAAAAAAGGCTCAAGGAACTTGATCATTTACCAAGGGTATTTTTGTGAATGATAGAGTCGGACAGTGGGCAGGCACTTCAGGCAGCGGTGTCGCTCCTCTAGCCCAACATTGGTTTGCAATATTCAAAATGAGTTCATTGAATTCAAGGGTTTTTATTTCCATGTAAAGCTACTTTTCCAAATCAAATGAAATGGATATTATAAAAATACAGTTGATTCATCTTATGAATGGGAAGAGTATTTTTCAGTGTGATTGTCTTCCAGCAATTGGAAGTGCATACTGCTTGTCTCTGAAGAAAATTCCTTCTAGAGGGGCTTTAAAGTCTTTATGAATAAAAGACAAAATAAAAATCATTTTTCTTATTTTAGTTTTCTGGATATGCTGCAGAAGGATCCGTGCCAGAAACAAGCCTGTGAAATACAGAAATGTTTACAAGGTACCATGTTCAATGCTTTTAAAATATTTTCCCCTTTATCTGTGAACTAACTAAAGAGACCAATTGTTCTTTTATCAGCAAACTATATTAACTCCTCTCAGAATATATTTCTGTAATTAATTCAGCCTGAAGATCATCTTCAATGTATAATCAAAGATGCAGAAAATAAAAAGTGGTATGATCTAAGCTTGGAGCTTGTAGTTCTGGGTGTATAATAGAATCTCATGGAGAGCTATAAAAACTTGCCTAGAATAATGAAATCAAGTTGCCTGTTGCTGTGGTCTAGGCAGGAATCTGTCTTAAGAAGCTAACCAAATGATTTTAATATGCAACCAGAGTTGAGAATTACTAAGCTGAGCAAAATCCTTTAAAAAAAAAAAGAACTAGTTTTTTTCTTTTTATTGAATTTATTCAAATGACACTGGTTAACAAAATTATACAGGTTTAAGGTGCAAAATTCCACAACAGATCATTTGTACATTGTACTGTGTGATCACCACCCAAAGTCAGGTCTCCTTCATCACCATTTATCCCTCCTATACCCTCCTCTACCTTGCCTCACCCAACCCTGCTGTCCCCACACTGTTATGTGTCCATGAGTTTTTTCTCTTTTTTTTCCTTTTTGCTTAATCCCTCCACTCTCTCCTGACAGCTGTCAGACTGCTCTGTCTATGGGTCTGTCTCTGTTTTGCTTGATAGTTCATTTTCTTCATTAGATTCCACAGATAAGTGAAGTTATATGATATTTGTCTTTCTCTGCTGGCTTATTTCACTTAGCATAATGCTCTTCAGGTCCATCCATGCTGTCACAAAGGGTAAGATTTCCTCCTTTTTATGGCCAACTAGTATTCCATTGTGTAAATGTACCACAGCTTTTTTTATCCACTTATCTACTGATGGGCACTTGGGCTGCTTCCAAATCTTGCTATTGTAAATAACACTGCAGTGAACATAGGGGTGCATATATTCTTTCCAATTAGTTTTTCAGGTTTCTTTGGATATATTCCCAGAAGTGGAATCATTGTATCATAAGGCAGTTCCATTTTTAACAAACTGTAGAAATGACCCCTGAAAGTATAGTCTTAAGGCAGTTCCATTATTAACTCCATACTGAGATAACTCCATACTGCTTTCCACAGTGGCTATACTAGCCTGCATTCCCACCAACAGTGCACTAGGGTTCCCTTTTCTCCACATCCTCACCAGCACTTGTTATTTGTTGTTTTTATTGGTGATAACCCTTCTAACAGGTGTGAGGTGATATCTTAGTATGGTTTTAATTTGCATTTCTCTGATGAATAGTGACGTTGAGCATTTTTTCATATGTCTATGGCCCATCACTATGTCCTCTTTGGAGAAGTGTCTGTTGAGGTCCTTTGACCATTTGTTAGTTGGATTTATTTTGGCAATGTCTTTATAAATTTTAGATATTGACTCCTTATCAGATATATCATTGGCAATTATGTTCTCCCATTCAGTAAATTGTCTTTTCATTTTGTTGGTGGTTTCCTTTGCTGTGCAAAAACTTTTTAGTTTGATGTAGTCCCATTTGTTTATTTTTCTTTGGTTTCTCTTGTCCATGGCACTATATCAGAAAAAAATACTGCTACAAGAAATGTCCAAGATTTTACTGCCTATGTTTTCTTCAAGGACTTTTATGATTTTGAGTCTAACGTTTAAGTCTTTAATCCATTTTGAGTTTATTCTTGTGTATGGTGTAAGGAGGTGGTCTAGTTTCATTTTTTTTGCACGTAGCTGTCCAATTTTCCCAATACCATTTATTGAATAGACTATCTTTACTCCATTGAATGTTATTGCCTCCTTTGTCAAATATTAATTGACTATAAAAGTGTGGGTTTATTTCTGAGCTCTCTACTCTGATCCATTGTCTATATGTCTATATGTCTGTTTTTTTGTAAGATTTTATTTATTTTTTTAGAAGGGAGAGGAAGGAGAAAGAGAGGGAGAGAAACATCAGTGTGTGGTTGCTTCTCACATGCCCCTCACTGAGAACCTGGCCCACAACCCAGGCACATGCCCCAACTGGGAATCAAACCAGAGACCCTTTGGTTCACAGGCCCATGCTCAATTCACTGAGCTGCACCAACCAGGGCTATATGTCTATTTTTATGCCAGTACCATGCTGTTTTGATTACTATGGCCTTGTAGTCTACTTTGATATCAGGTAGCATGATTCCTCCAACTTTGTTCTTTTTTTCTCAAGATTGCTCTATTTAGAGACTTTGTGGTTCCATATAAATTTTTGGAATATCTGTTCTAGTACTGTGAAATATGCCATTGGTATTTTAATAGGAATTTCATTGAATCTATAGATTGCTTTAGGTAGTATGGGCATTTTGATGATATTAATTTTTCCTATCCATGAACACAGTTTACAGTTTATGCTTTCACTTATTTGTATCTTCTTCAGTTTAAAAAAAGACTTGTTTTAAAATGGGTTGTTTATACTTACCTGTGGCTGACAGCTTGCTTTTTAAAAGCAGTCAGGTTAGAAGGAGGGTGTTAAAAATACAATTGCAGTTCAAGCTGCCAAAGTCAGCAACTAAGTCTTTTGGAAAAATATATTTTACTGATTATGCTGTAACAGTTGTCCCCATTTTTCCCCCTTTGCCCTCCTCCACCAAGTATACCCATTCCCTCCAGCAATCTCCCCCTTAGTTCATGTTCCTGGGTTATGCATATAAGTTCTTTGGCTACTCCATTTTCTGTAATGTTCTTAACATCCCCCTATTTTGTAACAACCTATTTGTAACTTCTTAATCCCTGCACCTTTCCCCCAGTCTCTCCCCTTCCCAGTCCCAACTAATAACCCTCCAAATGATCTCCATACCTATGATTCTGTATCTGTTCTACTTGTTCACTTTGTTTTTTAGATTCTATTGTTGATAGTTGTGAATTTATTGCCATTTTAATGTCCATAGTTCCAATCTTCTTTTCCTTATATAATTCCTTTTAACATTTCATATAATAATGGCTTGGTGATGATGAATTCCTTTAGTTTTATCTTCTCTGTGAAGACTTTATCTGCCCTTCCATTCTAAATGGCAGCTTTGCTAGATAGAGTAATCTTGGATATAGGTCCTTGCCTTTCATGACTTGGAATACTTCTGGCCAGTCCCCCTTCTAGTCTGCAAAATTTATTTTGAGAAAACAGCTGACAGTCTTATGGGAACTCCTTCGTAGGTAACTATCAGCTTTTCTCTTGCTGCTTTTAAGATTCTCTCCTTATTCTTTGGCATTTTAATTATGATGTGTCTTGGTATGGTCCATTTTGTTTGGGACTTGCTGTGCTTCCTGGACTTGTATGTCTTATTTCCTTCACCAAATTAAGGAAGTTTTCTTACATTATTTTTTCCAAATAAGTTTTCAATTTCTTGCTCTTCCTCTTCTCCTCTGGCACCCCTATGATTCAGATGTTGGTGCACTTGAAGGTAACCCAGAAGCTCCTTATCCTGTCCTTATTTTTTTTTTAATTTTTTTTCTTCTTGCTGTTGTAATTGAGTGCTTTTTTGTCTTATGTTCCAAATTATTGATTTGATTCTTGGCTTCATCCCCTCCACTGTTGGTTCCCTATAGATTTTTCTTTATTTCACTTAATGTAACCTTCTTTTCTGCCTGGGTCTTTTTTATGCTGTTGAAGCATCCAGTGAGTTTTTAGAGCATCCTGATAAGCAGTGTTTTGAACTCTGCATCTGTTGGATTGCTTATCTCCATTTTGTTTAGTTCTTTTTCTGGAGTTCTGTTCTTTCATTTGGACCATATTTCTTTGTCTCCTCATTCTGGCAGCCTCCCTGTGTTTGTTTCTGTGTATTAGGTAGAGCTGCTTTGACTCTTAGCCTATTGTAGAACAGTGCACCTGAAAGTTGAATGGGGTGGAGCCTTATGTAATCACCAGGGCAGGGTAACCATTATATTGCTCTGTGGCTCTGTGTGGGGGAGGGCTCAGAGAGGGGACAATGTTGCTGCCCGGCTTCTGGAATTTTGCCCAGGTGCAAGCTTACTCCCAGCAAGCTTGCCATGATGCCATTCACTTCACTTTTTCCACATATGCCACTGGTGCCCTTCCAGCTGTTGCCCAGTGCTAAAGCCCAGAGGGAGTGAGTCTGTATAAGTCCTAAGACAGTTGCAGGCCCTTGAAGAGGAGTCTCCTTGTGAGTCCCACAGTTTCTTCTGCCACCCCAGCCCCCACTGGATTTTATAGCCAGAAGTTATGGAGCCTTAACTTCCTGGCATTGGAACCCTGGGCTGGGTAGTCTAGTCTGCAGTTGGGATTTCTCTTTCCTGAGGTCTCCCAATTTTTATTCACCATACATATATATGGGACCACCCGTTCCACATCTCCACGCTTCTGTGTCTCTCTGCCCCTCTCTGCATGTCTCTATATCACAACCCCTACTGCTAATCTGGATGACTGCGGCTTCTTTAAATCCTTGGTTGTTGGACTTCCATACAGCTCAATTTTCTGACATTTCTGGGTAATATTTGTTTTGTAGTCTAGTTGTTTTTTTCTGTAGTTGTGCAAAGAGGCAAGGCATGTTTTCCTATGCCTTCATCTTGACCAGAAGTCTAGCAACTGTCTTAAAGGCAAAAATGAATTTCAGCTAAAGTATATTTGATATGATTTGTCCATTTGGTTTTAAATCAGCCAATATGTTTGAATAATTGCCAAAGGACTTCATTTTTTTTTTCAGTCAGTGAATGATTATTGGCAGAACAAATAGAAAAAGCTTCCAGACTACCTGAATTTGAAAACTGACTTTTAAAATAATTTTCCCATTATCAAAGTAGAGTAATAGAGATGGATACCCATGAAAATATAGAAAGGTCGGAAGGAAAATGTTGAGCTCCCCCAAAGACTCAGCACCAAAGGAACCCTTGTTTGTATATTTCCTTTGACTTTTAACTTCCATGCCTGAACTTTTCATTTTATGCAGTAAACAATATTTTATTTAAAATCTTTTAATCTAAAGTGTTAATGTATAATCATGCCCTTTTGTTCATCCCTTTCTCCAAATTTAAGAAAAACCAAAAATCTTTTTCACAATTAATTTCTTCTCCCAAATAAATTCCTAACTGATTTGAATCAGCAACCCATAGTTAAAGGAGAACAAGAATCAAGTTAGAGTAGTTATACCCCTTGCTACAGTATGGAAGGATTGAGGGCTGGAAGGACTAAGAGTTAGCATTAAGCATTCTCTGGATGACAAGCACAGCCAAAGGGGCTCTAAACATATTAAGTCATTTAATCGTTTCATCCATGAGACAGATATTAACTATGACTCCCCATTTTACAGGTGAGTAAATCAACACAGAAGTTATATAACTTGCTCAGGGTTACACAACTAGTAAGGGTTACAGTGAGAATTTGAATCCTGTTAGTCTGGCTCCAAGCCTGGACTCAGCCACCCTGCTATACTCTCTTTGTAGTCAAAATAGTCTTTCCTAACACAGACTAACTCCCATGCACCCCATTTTAATATAGAGGGACTCAGGTCAATTCCTCCTTGACTTAGAATCTATGTATATAGTAGGGGGTCTGCAAATGTTTTATATAAAGGGCCCAACAGAAAATATTTTAGACTTTGGAGGCCAGGAGGTCCTTGTTGGAGAGAGACACAGAGAGAGAGAAAGAGAGAGATTACAACCCTTGCGATGTAAAAACCATTGTTAGCTCACATCTGTAAAAAAGGGTCGCCCCTGAGGCTGCAGTTTTCGAACCTCTGATGCATAGACTTGGTAGGGAAGGGTTTACCAGCCACATTAAAACTGTGTGCAAAATAACATGCATGCTATGGGCATTTTTCTGATTCACCAAATTATAAAGGAGTTAACCAAAAGGGGGGGGAGGCTAAAAAACACTGCCCTAGAAAAAGGTACATAAGCTATTAACTCAGCCTTAAAGAAAACAAAATTGTATAGAAAAATACCTTTTGACCACTTTGTAAATCACACTTTTCTTCCTAATTAACCTGTTGACTGGTCTCTAAATCAGAAAGAATTCAGTGGACTTTGATAGATCCTCTTTCTTCCAGATCTGTACATACAATAATGTGAAAAGGAGTGGGAAGCAATGATCTAAAACTCCCTGTGCCTTATTCCTATGAGATCATGACTAGGGTCTGCCTGTCTGTTTTTCAGCCAACAACTTCAGGGACTCTAAGTGTCAGGCTGTCATCCAAGAACTTCGTAAGTGTTGTGCTCGCTATCCCAAGGGAAGATCCCTCGTCTGTTCAGGATATGACAAAGAAGAGGTAGAAAAGCTGAAACCGAAGTCCACATCAGAGTAAAGATCTGCGGAGAAGTTAAATGCTGCACCATGTTTCCACCAAGCGAGTTTTGTTTATCCTCCTATTCTTCAGGCCAGGTAGCAGCAAATATCAAAGGAAAAAGTCAACTATAAAAGTTAATAAATATGCCTTCTATGCAGAACAGGTAGAAATATATTAAATATGTAGAATGTAATAAAACTGACCTGTGAAAATAAACCTTTTAAGTGAAAAACTTCTGCTTTGGTATTTGTGACATTGTCACTTATAAGAAATACATATTTGGTTTTTGTCTCCATTCCAGGCAGAGTTCCTGAAACCTTTCGGAATTTCCTAAATGATAAGAGTGATAAATGTGTGTTTTTTAACATTAATGAGGTGGCCTTTAATGAGGAAAGCCACTAGGTAACCCATGGATGGGGGCTGGTATCCAGGGGAACCAACCACATGATTAGAGTTGGAGCTTTTAGTCCCCACCTCCATGCCTGCCCCCCAACTTTTGTGGAGGGAAGAGGGCTGGAGGAGTTTGAGTTTGATCACCAGTGGCCAATAATTTAATCAAATAAGGTGTCAGGTGAAAACACTCAATCCTCCAGTGTCACAATTGTGACACCTTTCATAGATTAGCTACTAAATTCATAGGTTTCTCTAACGCAACCTAATACCTGTTGTATTTCCAATAATTCAGAGCAAAGTGTTTTCCCAGATGCAAGTAGACGTTTCTGCTTTTGCATAACCATCATGTCATACTTACTCAATGTGTAGTAGGAAAGACAAAGAAATGATTCTTGTAATGTTTAATGACCCCTAATTTATCAAGAGAACTTTATTGGAAGTCAGGCAGGCAGCAACAGAATTAGAATTCTTAGGTGGTTTATCTGTCTTTATATCATTAAAATGAAAACCTGGTACAGCAGATCCTAATGTTAATAGAAGGCTGCCAAAGGAAACCTGTTGACAGTTGTGAGTGACTTCATGTAGTGGATGAGGGATGGAGCGGGGAGTGACAGTATCAGACAGGCCATTTGGTTTCCTCTTTGCCCCTCACCAGAAAGAAAAAAGAAAAAGATGACTTCCTAAGCAAGAGCAGAAACAAATTCTGACAGGTTCTGGTCTTAGTCCATTCGAGCAGCTGTAACAAACTACCACAGATGAGGCCTTTATTTCTGACAGCTCTGGCAGCTGAAAGGCCAAAGCCAAGGCTCCACAGATGCAGTGTCCTGAAAGCCTACTTCCTGGTTTGTGAATGGCTTTCTTTCCTGCTGTGTCCTCACATAGTGGAAGGGGTGAAGGAGTTCTGTGGGGTCTCTTTTATAAGGGTACCAACCCTTCATGAGGGTTCCACCCCCATGAACTAATCACCTGCCAAAAGTCCCACAGCCAAATACTATCACATTGGCAGGTAGGATTTCAACATAGGAATTTTGGAGTACACAAATATTCAGGCCATAACAGGATAAATCCATCCTTGCCTCTTCTAGCACACTAGAAAAAGGCTACATTGCTATGAATGGACTGAGATAATCACTGATGTTCAAATACCATTATTATTTGAGACCAACTGTTCTTTAAAAACAGCATTCCCCAAAGTGTTTCTAGGAGTTACTATGACAAAGGGAAAAAGTCTTTTTAAATTAGTCTGGAGAATGCTAGGTTAGACTAAAGAAAACAGGTTTCTTTCCCGTAAGATTTCAGAGCTTTTCATATGCTAATGTGAGTTATGATTCTTTGGGAAGGATTATTGTATGCAGTACTTAACAAAGTGTACCCAGCAAACCCACTTTGCAGACAGCATCTCTGAATGTTCTCCAGTGAGACTTGGAGAACTGGTGCTTTAGAGATGTTTGGTCCACATACCAGGTTAACAGTGCTACAAGCTCTTGAAACCATTTAAATGAACTCTTGTGTTAGTGAAACAGTTTAATAAAGTATTTTAAAACTATCATATACAAATCTAAATTACATTTAAAATTATCAGTTGATGTGCTGGCCAGTGTGGCTCAGTTGGTGTGTCATCCAGTAAATCAAAAGGTGAGTTCGATTCCTTGTCAGGGCACATGCCTAGGTTGCAGGTTCAGTGCATGGCTGGGCACATACCAAAGGCAACCAGTTGACGTTTCCCTGGCATATCGGTGTCTCTCTTCCTCTCAAAGCAATAAGCATGTCCTCAGGAGAGGATTAAAAAAGGAAAAATAAAATTATCAATTGATAGTGGCATTAGGATTTATATTAGGAATCACATGATCAAATAGATTGCTTTCCTGTGCTTTATTACAAAATTATTGTCTACTCAAATTTCAGACTGTTTCAAATTTTTTTTCCTAAGGTATATTACTTTATTTAGGGCTTTTAAAGCTTCAAATCAGTCATTACTTCCTATCTTTAAATTCAGTCCTGTCTCAGTTTAAGCCAACATCTATTGGCAGATATTGATTTAAATCTTATTCTTCTTAGCTATTATGGCATACAGAAAAATAGCCATCAGAGAAGGTTAACATTTAGTGATTGTTTTTATGTGTTAGGGACCATGATTAGTTCTGAATCTCAGTCTTCATGGAAGAACTGGGAAGGTAAGAAGTATGATCTCATCTGCATTTTAGTTATGAATAAAGCTTGTAAGTAGGTTTTTAGTGACAATAAGTTTAATCACTTGGTTAAGTAGAGACCAACAGACCTCATCTGGAAAGGTAATTTTCTCTTTGTAATGGATAATACGTGAGGTGATATGTTGGTGCCCTATGAATATCCCACAGCCTTTCACCTAATAGCTTTGGCATCAACTGATGACAAAAGCCCCTGCTCTGCCATTATGCTACAGTGTGACAATGCTCTTCCCAGCATGCACTCCACATTATTCCTGTAACATTTTATAAACTTTAATATTACACTTATGTTCAGCATCTGAAGTTGCATGGCACTTAACTTAAAAGGCTTTAAAGGGCCAGTTAAGCAGTCACTTTTAACAGCAGAACTATAATTTTATTAGCACTAGCTTCCAACTCCGTATTTCAGTGATTCTCAACCTTGGCTACTCATTAGAAATATCTAAGGCATATTAAAAACTCAGACTGTCTCAATGGTACCCCAGACCAGTGAATCAAGAGTCTCTAGGATGACAGCCAGGTGTCAGTAGTTTTCAAAATTCCACAGGTTGATTCCCATGTGCAAGCAAGGACAAGAACCACTGCTCTCAGTAATCCTAATGACATTTTTTAGCATTTCAAATTCAGAAAGGTAGACAGTTTGCGTGAGTCATAAGCTGACTTATGTTTTATATAAAAGAGGAAAAAGTGAAACAATTTTCTTTAGACAAACAGTGACCTTAAAATTCATGATTCCTTAAGAATCAAACATCACAGATATAAGCCACACCATATGATTCCTGGGAAATCAGGTCCAGATATACTTTCTGCTCAATTCTCCAAGAGATCTAACATTTTAGAAGTGATTGAGAAGGCCCCAAACCTGGACTTCATGACAAAGAAACAAACTGATAAGTTGGTGGAGGAAGCAGAGAGGGCAGCAGTCTAATTTTCCCTACAGGATCTAAAACTGGCCTTAAGTGAATTTCCTTCAGAGAAGACACAGATCATCATGAAAATTAATGATACTCAGAAATTTCAAATCCACCCCATACCACCTTTTTCAAGCAGAGATTTATTGTATTTTCCCAAACTATACAAAAGTAGAGATTTCAAATAAGAACCCAACCATTAGTCCATCTTTCTGGCAAATGCCAAATGAAAGGATGATGGTAAAAAACATTCTTATAATAGTTAACTACACAGTAACTGCATTTCAAAACCACAAGCACCCTCTCAAAGAGTTTGTTACCTACAATTATGTAAGATTCATTCCTTCAAAAAATGAATAAGGGGGAGAGGGAGGGGAGAGAAGGAGGGAAGAGAAAACAGGGTGGCTACAGTTAGGGTGGGAGAGGGAGAGAGAAGGGGAGAGGGAGGGAGAAGGGGAGAGGGAGAAAGCATGAATATAAATAATCCAATCCTTCTATCTCTGTTAAGCGATATGAACAAATCTACATGTGAGAATAATGTTAGCTAATTTTATTATACAATAAAACATTTGAAACAACAACAATAATAATAATATCCCTAACCCTAACCCTAACCCTAACCCTCGAACTGTGATCACCTCCTGTCTTCTGCCAGCATCCATGAGATGGGTAACTGTCCAGGTCTAGTAGGAAGGGTTTTCACCCAAGTGCTAGGCCACGTGGGAAGAAAAGCCTCGCCCCGGCCAGTCCTGTTGCTAAATGTCCTAGGCTGAGTGGTGAGAGGTTGAAGCAAAGAGAGCAACAGGAGAAAAATGTTATTAGTATGTCATCACAATGGCAGTGACACTCATTACAATAGGGATGGTCAGGCAGGAATTTCCGTGAACTCAAACTATGTAACCAATGAGGAGTCTCTCCTTAAGCAGGCTGAAAACATTGGAGTATTTGTTGAACCGGAACGCAGCCATGTAAAACGAAAATGCCCCTGGCTCCCTCTCCCCTGGCACCAGGAAAAACTTGGGGCAGAAGGGAGTTAAGCCTTATAGCTTGACTGCACCCGGCCCCAAGTCCCCACCCTATCCAGTTCCATCCGTGTTCTATCAGTGTTCCAGGAGGGACACTGCGTCAAAGGGTGGCCCGGAGTGGCAAGGACGCTGTGGTGTGAGGAGCCAAAGGGAAGAAGAGCCTCACAGGGGTTCCAGCCACCAGGTGTGGATGGATGGATGGATGTGTTTTGTGCCAGAGGAGATTCTCTCAGTCGGGGTCAAGCTAAAGAAGCCCTGAGTCTGGCGTTACCACGTCCCTGCCAGCAGGGGGCGATGAAACTCTGAACATGTTCAAAATGAAGTTGCTGGGTTGGAACCTTAAGGAGCACAGAATCTCTCAATTAGTCAAAGGAAAACTGTTTCTTCCCCCACCCCTGCCCTCGCCACTCAAAAGGACGCCTAGCACATTACTGGACTCTGGAGAAAAATACGTGCCTCGCTAGTCAAATGAAAACTGAATTCATGGCTGCAGTAGCCTGGCCTTGGTATCTTGTTTATGCACAAAGTGGTAAGAGCTCTTCTTTTGGGAGAAATCTTATCTCCCACTTCACCACCTGAAACAAAGCTGCTAGCAATAGGGCCTCAATTTAGAGGCTCCTATGAAGCCTGAGCCTACTTCACTGGAGGTTCAGCTCAGCTGAAACCCAATGTGCCACAGCACTGCCACTGTTCAACCTCAGCACCAGCTCTGCACAGCCACAAGTGGGCAGAACTCAAGGCCATTCTCATACCAGCAGCATGAGGCCAACATGGATTATTAACCTCAACCATTCCCCTCAGGGTCCCAGAAGCAGACAGACAACTGGGAATAAACTTTAGGAAGGACCTCTTTATCTTGTTTTGGCCTATTATCTACTATAACAACTCACTCAAAGCAGTTTAGACCAACCTGCTAATCTTTGTTGTCATCACCAATAATCACAGAAAAAATAGATGGACGAAAGGCAACCCACACCTTACTGGAGAGGCATTCAGTGGCCACTCTTCCCCCACATGCAACCCAAAAGTGCACAGGGCACTTTAGTTAGGTTTTAGTCACCATTCCATTGGTCTAGGTGAGTCACATGAGTAGGGTCATCAAATGGCTTCAGCCTTGATTGCCATAACACAGGCACCCAGGCATCAGAAGCAGAATGTGGGGAACTGGGGAACCAATTAATTAGTGTCTTCAATAAATATAATGGGAGTCAAAATAAAAAGAACATATAAAAGAGAGACTTAAGAGACATATCCAAATTCAATGTGGACCTTACATGGATTTTGATTCAAACAAACGTAAAACTTAAGATAATCTTGAACACTGACTAGATATTTGATATTAAAGAAGTATAGGGTTTTGGTATGATAATAAGGTATTACATTTATGATTTTTAAAGAGTTCTTACCTTTTAGACATACATACTAAGTATAAAATGACACACTTGGTATTTATTTCAAAATAATTGGTAAAACAAGCTATAATTTGATTATCATTGTAGGTAGGTGGTAGATAGGGGATCACTGTGCTGTTTTCTCTATTTGTTTATGTGTGAGTTTCCATAATAAAATGTGAAAAAAATTAAGTTCTTGTATAAAAATATGCAACAAAGAGGCTCATAGTCCTATTGGGGACAATTCATAAATATTGTAAGCAAAATAGCTTATGCTGCTTTAAAGTACTACCGTAATGTAATGAGAAAAATGGGAACACATGAATTCTAAAAAGTTCCATAAATCCACTGGTAGTTATAATATCCATGTTCAATACATCATTCCCAAGCTAAGTTAAAAGGCAAATATTTTAAAAGGAAGGCCTTAAACTTGCAAGGGATCACCTGCAAGTTTACAAATTAATTCCAAATTTTCTGCATTTTCACAACTCATAGTCTCAATTTTTTGCATCAGTCCCTTTTCCAGATACCTTTGTATGAGGTCATTATTCATATATTCGACAAATAGTGAGTACCCATTAAGTGCTAGGCCTGATGGGTATAATGGTGAACACACAAGCCTTGCCCTCTAGAAGCATATATTCTAGATAGGATTGCAGACGTGATATCAGGCCATTACAGCAAAATGTGCTAAGATTCTAAGCATATGTGTTTTTATAAACTTATTTTAAAGAATTAAGTGTAAGAGTCAGAGTCATCATGAGACATTACAATTCACGATGTGAATAATTTATTTTACATATGCTATTGCCACCATTCTCAATCCTGAAAATCTAAAATGCTATCTCTTTAAAACTCTGGTTCAAATGTTATGTATTTTATGCTAACTGGACAAAGAAATAGAATTGGCAGAGGAACTATGACCATCCAATGTTTTGACAAGTAAAGAATACTTCACAATTCAAAGCCTAAAATCTTTTTTATGAAAAGCCCAAAAGCTTCTTCCTTCTCCCACCTAAAGTCACTTCTTTTACCATAAACAAACCCTTGGGAATAGTCATGAGCATTATCCTATATGGTAGAAACCCCCACCTCCTGGATAATATCTTAATGCCCCTGAATGATTAACTCTGACTATCCAACGATGTACCTATTGGTTATTTCCCTAAAGATTTTCCCACCAAACACAGTATCTTCTGTTCAGCATATATACCTTTAGTACAAGTTCATTCTACATTCATAATTTTTCAATTATAGTACTTGTGCCATTATTCTGTCAGGTTAATTTATCAGGTATAAATATCTCTGTTTCTATAATCTAAAACCAACTAAAAAAGAAAGTAGACACCAAGATACCAAAATCTTTCATGCTTAAAGGCAAATGTATTCAGTTCCTTTCCATGCAGCACATAAGATGGTTATCTATGTGCTTGTTATGCCTTTTCCAAATTGTTTGGGACAACTTTTGAGGATCCACTCATCGTCCATGGTGAGCCATCTTGCAGTAAGTTCTAGTAAGTATCTTACGTAGGGGGAAAGGAACATTCCTGTTGACCTACAGATTAGTCAAATAGGGAGTGTTCTGGGAGGAGAGTTAATGTCTATTGTCTCTTCCGTTGTTGTCATGAGGCTCACAGTAGGGCCGTATCAGTTTGTACCAACAGATGCCTACAGAAGCCGTTCAAGATATGCTGCAGCGGGGAGAAAGGCACAGGAGAAGAGGAGGAGGAAGAGAAGACTTGATGTCCTATGATGGAGTGAAGAGGCAGCTAGTTGGAAAAAGCAGGAACAATGAGTCGTCCTCCTTAGGATGCCATGCCAAGCAAAAAGCCTCCAAAAAATCCTCCAGTCACTAGAACATTCTTCTTCACAAATGACACCACCTATGAACAGAAGATAGCACAATGGGCTATTTTACTAAGGATATTATTAGTATTAGAATCATCTCTATTATCTATGTAGTCCTGATAATGTCGATCCCCTCGTCTGTTGTTTGTACTTTAGCCACAGGGCAACAGAAGCCATGAAGAGACTAACATGTGACAATGACCCCTGGCTGTGTGGGGAGCCCAACAGGAAGCAGATCAGATAAGGAAGTGAGATGATAGGTCTTTGGATCAAGGCAGTAGTGGAGCTGCTAGTGCACAGCAATCAAATTCAAGTGCTGTTTTCGGGGCAGGACTTTGTGTAACCAGGTAATTGCATATGGGGGATGAGGGGAAGTCAAAGGCAATTCAATAGATTCCTTCTTTAGTGACAGAGATAAGAACTATGCCCAAAAGTTCATGCAGGCACAGGGAAAGACTAAGTTCACGGGGGCAGCTATGGGGAAGAGTAAAGCTGCATTCAATAAACTGGCTACAGAGTCAATTCACGATTTCTAATTTCACTCCTTCCATTTTCTATACCTCCTCTCCACTGGAGGCTGCTCACTCTGAAATCTCTCCTGCAAATTTCTCCATGTATTCATCCTATCCATTCATCTGTCCACCTATCCACCCGTCTCCCTCCGGGACCTCATCTTAAGTAGATGTTCTGAATTCTCATTCTCATACTTCACATCAGAGGACCATTAACAGGAGAAGTCCTTATTTTCTTAAATTCCCAAAGCCTCCAAACTCCTGTAAAAGTTCCCACTCATCTGAAACTCAGAGAATATCCTCAGCACTCTCTGGCTCCCATGTCCCTACTCTATAATCTTCATTTCAGAGAGAACTTTCTTTCAAGTACAACCACCACCTTAGAAGGTGTTCCTAGGGACAACACATCCGGTATTCTAGCCTAATCATTTCTTCAACTGAAGTACAATGACCTCATCACCCAACCATTTAGAACCACTCACATCCTGACTTTCCCCTGACCTTTTCCACTCTCTGCTCCATCCTCCTGGGAACCTCTAGCCCCCTTACTCCCACTGAGCCTAAATCTTCTTGTGTCACTTTCACTCCCCCTGACTCAGTTGGACCTCACATTTCCCTACGTAGGGCATTGTCTTTCCCATCTGCCATCAAGAGGAATAGAAAAAAATCATACAACTTCCTGAAATAATTGCTTTCATTATTTTTCTTACTTCCTACTCATTCTTCAAATTGCTATAGTTTCACTTTCAACTCCACCACCCCAGTAAAACTGTTCTCACTGAGTCACTGTTGTAGCTAAATACTGAACCTATACTGAGCCTACTGTTAATGAAAGCTTGGTCTTACCAAGTAAGACCATGGGCTCTGAGGGGGGAACCTGTCCCTGAGGCATGTGACAATGCCAGACCATTAATAGGAATATAGAAATCTTCCCTAGCAGGTGTGGCTCAGTTCATTGGGCAATGTCCCACAAAGCAAAAGGTCCCAGTCAGTGTATATGCCTCGGTTGGGGTTCGGTCCCCTATCAGGGTGTGTGCAGGAGGCAATGGATCAATGTTCTTCTCCCTCCCTCCCTCCCCCCTCTCTAAAAAATAATAAATATGTCTTAAAGAGAAAAGGAATACAGAAATTTGTGGAATAAACCAATTTCCAACCTTTTGGTTAGTTTATAACAAGTTCCCTCTGTGAGTCAATAGTTAGTTGTAATCAAACATTAACCTTATCATGAAAGACATTTTCAACAATCATCTTTTACTTTTGTAACTGTTTGAATAACCAAGTTTTGGCAAAATGAGAAACATATAACTTTCATAACCTGAGCTTGAGGAAGATGGATGGAAGAAGGGAAGGAAGGGGAGGGACTATCTGTGATCCTGGGCCCTGAAAAATGCCACTTTCCACTCTGCGTAAAGGGCCACCTTTAGCCAACCATTCACCACCACAGAAACTGTCATCATGTACTTGGCGATGTGGAGCTCTGTTCAGTATTTTTCTAGTCTACTAAATCATCTACCACTCATCTGCTTTCCAACTCCCCAATATTTGCTGACATTTGTTGTCTACTGGTATTCCTCTCCTGTTCTCTTGGTCCTTGTGGGCTTAATTAATTTTATTTTGTATATATTTCAGAAGGAAGTGGAGATAAATGCACGTGTTTAATCTGCCACGTTTAACCTAAATTCACCTATTAACAACTATTCTATCTGATTACACAACTTCTTCCTTTCACTGCTACTGGAGTGTGAATGCCTCAAGAACAAGGCCTATTTAAATCTACCCTTAAATCAAAAGTCCCCCCTCTTTTCTTTGTGAATCCAGAACCCCATTGCTCCAGACTATAAAAGGTGCCAAGGAACCTAGATGTTGCTTTATTTCCCTCAAGTTCAGGGCACTTCTGTCTTTGGGACATTTGACATATTTCTAAAGGTAATAAAGCAGCAACAAAATGCATCCTTTTAAAAAGGAAAAAAAATTCCCTGTTTCTCCTGTGCTAGCCAATACAACCTAACTTGCCTTCATGCATTAGATCAGGGGTTAGCAAACTACACCCCATGGGACAATCCAGCTGGCTGCATGTTTTTAAATAAAAGTCCACTGCAATACAACTGCACTCAGTTGTCTACACATATCAACTATGGTTATTTTCTTGCTACACAGTGGAGGTCAATAGTTGTTAAGAGACAGTACATTGCTTACAGAGCTAAAATTATTTACCATTTGGCCCTTTACAAAAAAATGTTGCCAACCTCAGGACTAGACATTCCACTAGTTCTATGTAGGACGAGTAAAGTTTGGACATTTCAGAGATGTGTATGGATATAAAATAATCATACTGGCTATACAATCTGCATCCTTATCCTCCCACTTGTTGCATTGTCCCCATCCCTACAAGAACTAGTTCAAGAGATGACTGACTCATATACGTGCATGTATCACTCTGCACTCTCACTCACTGACAAGCCACCAAAAACTTCAAATACCCAACTTTTAAAAAATGTCTCTGAGGTGAAGCTGTTCTTTCCAAAGCTGGCAAGTAGGTGTATCTAGCCCCATTTTTATATGTACAAAATTGTCTGCACTCTTCACACACTTCATGTAAATGAAAGCAGTCTCACCTCCTCAGCTTTGCTTTTCACCTCTGTAGGTAAATGGTTGCTCTTACGGATCTTCAGCTGTTCCTTGGCTCTCTTCATGTCCTTCTCTACGCGTTGCCAGTCAACTTTGATGTACCCAGTATGGTTTGCAACCTATAGTTTCAACAACAGCAAGAAATAAGGAACATGGGCTTGTTGTTTCTTCTTGTCAGGATAAATCACTGAAGTACATTATCAAAAACCCTTCTGACTTTCCATTTTTGGAGACATTTGACATCTAGTTCTTTTGACAATGACATTCACTCAACATCATGCAAGGCCCTATGTTTGGTGCCAGAAATCAATAAATTGCCCTTCATTGACTGCTGACAATTCTTTTACTATATTTATACTCTTACCCCTCTCTAAAGTTTTAAATTAGCTTTAAAAAATAAAATGGTAAAATCAGAATTGGAAGTCAAGATGTAAGGTTGCCCTGTCTGGAGTGGCTCAGTGGACTGAACGCCAGCCTGCAGAACAAAAGGTTGCAGGTTCAATTCCCAGTCAGGGTGCATGCCGGGGTTGCTGGTCAGGTCCCCAGGAGGAGGCGTGAGAGAGACAACTGATTGCTGTTTCTCTTGCACATCATGTTTCTCTCTCTTTTTCTCCCTCCTTACCCCTCTATCTAAAAATAAATAAATAAAGTCTTTTTAAAAAGATATAAGAGCCCTGGCTGGCATAGCTCAGTGGATTGAGCATGGGCTGCGAACCAAAGCATCGTAGGTTCGATTCCCAGTCAGGGCACATGCCTGGGTTACAGGCCATGGCCCCCAGCAACCGCACATTGATGTTTCTCTCTCTTTCTCCCTCCCTTCCCTCTCTAAAAATAAATAAATAAATCTTAAAAAAAAAAAGAATGTGTGAACTGGATAAAACTAATTCAAAAATATGCAGTTTTCTGGTGGATTAGTACTACCCATGGAACCAAGAAACTGATTACAGTCTATCAATCAATCCTCCATTAATATCACTCCTCTCCACCGAAGTTTTGTTGAGTCATATCTACCTGAATATCTCTAAATATCTAAAGCTCTTCTCCCTTCTATAGTTTCTTTCCTGCATTGTTGCTCTTCCTCTAGTCCAGGAATGTTGAACTCATTTTCACTGGGGGCCACATCAGTCTCACCGTTGCCTTAGGGCCCAATGTAATTTTAGGACTATATATAATGTAACTACGTAACATAGTTACACACAGTATAAACATAGTTACTATGTTTATACTTATAGTTCCTATATATAGTACTATACTATAGGTAACTATAAACTTATATAACTACATAGTTATATATAGTATACTATATATAGCAACTATATACTACATACTAGTATACTATATATAGCAACTATAAACATATAACTACTTATATAGTAACTATATATAGTAACTATAAACTTATATAACTATGTAGTTATATATAGTAAGAATATATCTTTATATATATAACTATGTAGTTATATGTTAGTTTATATAGTTACTAACTATATAACTATAGTTTATATAGTTACTAACTATATAATTACTAACTATATAAACTATAGTTAGTTTATATATGTAACTATGTAGTTACATATATATAGTCCTAAAATTACACTGGGCCCTTTGAAGGCAACCACAAGACTGATGTGGTCCCCGGTGAAAATGACTTCGACACCCCTGTGTCTAGTCTCTACTTTAGTTAATGGTACCACCAACTAAGTTACCCAAATCAGGCTGGAGAAATTATTTGCAATACATATAATAAACAAAACATTCATATTCATAAAAATAGAAATCCTCCTAGAGATTGGTAAGAAAAAACCCACTAGAAAAATGGGTAAAGGAAACTAACAGAAGAAAGTGGCCAATAAAAGGAAAAGTTCAACTCATAAGTAATCAAGGAAATTAAAATTAATGTGCAACTATTAATTTTTATCAGATTGGAGGCAATTAAAAGATTGAAAATATCCAACAGTCATAAGGATGTGAGAAAACGGACACTCTTTTTTTTCAAAAGATTTTATTTTATTTATTTTTAGAGGGAGAGGAAGGAGGTGAGAAAGAGAGGGAGAGAAACGTCATTGTGTCGTTGCCTCTCCCACGCCCCCCACCACAGCAGAAGCCACACCAGGCGGGGCAGAAAATAGACACTCTTATCCACTCACTGACAGTGTTATCTATCAATTGGGAGATAGTCTTAGGACTAAGGACAAGTGCACAAGTAAAGCCAGGAGAGCAACTAAAGCTATCAGGTATCTAGGAATAAAATCAAACCACAGACATGCAAAAACTATATGGAAAAAATCAATAGCCCTGGATGGTATGGCTGAGTGGATCAAGTGCCAACCTGTGAAACAAAGGATCACTGGTTCAATTCCCAGTCAAGACACATGCCTGGGTTGTGGGCCAGGCACCGGTGGGGGGCACATGAGAGGCAACCACACATTGATGTTTCCCTCCCTCTCTCTCTCCCTCCCTTCCCCTCTCTCTAAAAATAAATAAATAAAATATTAAAAAAACAATAAAAGTCTATGCAAAGACATTAAAGAAGACTGTAAGGAAGCTATAAGAAATATGTACTTATGTCCCCATTTTATAAATGACAAAATAAAACGCAACTAGTAATTGATGAAGTTTGACTCAAAGGTCACTAGCATTTCAAATAGTACATATAAATAAGTGCAAAGGCTATTCTAGTGTAACAAAGCCAGGACTACATTACAGCTCTGCACACCACATCCCTAACAGTCAAATGGATATCCCAAACATCTACGAATACAGACCTGAAGGAGAAAAAATCCTCCACCCACAGCTGTTGCAGCCAACTTCCCAACCTTCTGGAATATGAAACCCGTACACCTGCAAAAATCAAACCAACAACAGACAAGTTGACAGGCTGTCAAGTACATGGAAACAGTTGTGAGATATATGCATTAAGTATATAAATATTTTATATGTATCAAATATTATTGAGCCATAAAAAATAGGAAAAAACCTTACCATTTGCAACAACATGGATGGACCTAGAGGACATTATCTTAAGTGAGGTAAGTTAGAGAAAGACATGCTGTATGATCTCATTTACATGTGGAATCCTAGAAAAAGGGTTAAGAGGGCAAGGGGAGGGAGAATTGGAGGAAGATAGTCAAAAGGTACAAACTTGCACTTATAAGGCAAGTAAGTACCAGGGATGTAATATACATTATATATAGGAATGTTATTAAAAGAGCAAATGCAAATAGTGCTCATCATAAGGAGAATTTTTTCTTTCCTTTTCATTGTGTCTCTATGAAAGGATGGATGTTAACCAAATCTATTGTAATCATTTTACAATATATGTAAATCAAACCATCATGCTATATGCCCCAAAGTTATACAGTGATGTGTGCCATTTATTTCTCAATAAAACTGGGGTAAAATGAAAATAGATAATAACATTACCAATCTGAGAGTTGTTATAAAAGGGAAAAAAATATATTATATATTTTATATTATTATGTAGCATTATATATACTATATACTATAGCATGTAATTTATATATTATATAAATTAATAATATATAATATTATTATATATTATAATATATATTTATATATAATTATATATTTAATTATATACTATATATTATATTATATGTAATAATATATAATGTATATAGTATATGTAATAATATATAATGCATATAGTATATGTAATAATATATAATGTATATTTTAATACTTGGATTGTAGTAAAAACTATATGTGACCATTAAATGGCACTTAAACATGTTGTAGATAAATGCTACACATTAAGTGATATCACAGAAGTCAATGTGCTTTTTATTGGTTAAAGAAAATGATTCCTACAACCGCAATACTAAACCATGTAAAAAAACAGACACTGGACATCGTTCACATTACTTACCATCCAGTGACACCTCCAATTAACAGCTGGGTTGCCACGCTATACTTTTCAGCTGAGGGCCCAGACTCCTGGCCAAATAGCTTGCGCCACCATGGTTGCTTTTTAGCAAGTTCTGCAAGGTCTAATGCATCAAAATTTCCTACAAGAATTAAGATACTGAATAAGAAAATATTTACTTTTACAATAAAACACTACCATTGCCAACTAGATTAAGAGATTTTTAAAGAGACAGTTATAGTAAGAACCTCCAAATATTATTCTAATTTAAATAGTAAATTAACTCTGAAATTCTGACTGGCAATTTTTAAAAATCAGACCAAAATCAACAGATAGTATCCCTTAGGATACTATCTGTATCCTAAGAGGAAAGAGGATTACTTTCCTCTTTAAGAGGAAAAAAACCCCAGACAATATAGAATCAATAGTCTAGCCTTTCCTCTCAAATTTAAAAACAGCCAAAAGGACCTAGGAAAAATTGGTAGTAATTTTTAATAATTCATCCTAAATGAAATGGATTTCCTTCTCCTTTTCAGGAGTAACTCAATACTATTCCATAGCCCACAAATTCTGTTATTATGTAGATCTCTAGTGATAATAAATATGAGGGAGGTAATATTTCATTGAGCTCTTACTACTTACCAGAAAATGCTAAGCAATAAACATGTATATCTAATTAAATCCACAGAACAAGGTGCTACTTATTAACCCCATTTTATAACTAAGAAATGGAAGTTCAGAAGTTATTTGCCCAAGAAGTGAAGACTTAATAAAATAAAAAGTCTAATCCCTTTTCTCTGTGGGAAGATAACATAGGAATAAATTTAATTAAAGATGCATAAGACCTATCTACACTGTAAAATAACAATACCAGAAACTGAAGAATGACTGAAGATATATAATACATATCTATGTTTCGCAAGACTCAATATTTGTAAGATGTTCATTTTCTCCATATTGATCTATAGACTCAATGCCATTCTAATCAAAAAGCAGGTTGTTATCTAGAAACTGACAAACTGCTTCTAAAAGTTATAGGGAGATGCAAAGGGCCTAGAGTACTATTCCAGTTCCTGTGGTTATACAACAAATTACCCCCAAACTTCATGGAGCAAAACAATCATTCACTATGCTCTCAGACTCAGTGGATCCGGAATCCAGACAGGATGTGTTGCCTGATGCCTGGGGCTTCAACTGGAAGACTTACAGGTAGGGGTCTGGAATCATCTACTATAGTCACACACACAGTCTGCCCATGTGTGGGCTTGTTTAGGCTTCCTTAAAGCATGGTGTCTAGGGTCAAGGGTGACTGTCCCAAAGGGGTAAGTGAGAGAGTGAGTGAGTCCAAGTGATGGGCAGAAGCTAAGTTACCATTTGAGACGTAGCCTCTGAAGCCAAGCAGTATTACTTCCACTGCATCCTGCTGGAGCAGTCACAAACTCCTCTCAGATTCAAGAGGAACTACGGGCCCCATCACTCAGTGGAAGGGGTGGCAAAGCCACAGCAGGGATAAAAAGCATGTGGAATGGAAGATATTGCTGCACTTGTTTAGGGAAAGACAATGTGCCATAAGTAGCCAAAGCACTTTTTGGGAAAAAAAGAACAATGGTCAAGGACTTTCAAGACTTATGAAGTTACCATATATGACACAATGTACACCTCACCTATGGATACACAAACATATAAATGGAAGAGAATATAGAGTTCAGAAGTGGATCTATACAGTCATTTTATTTTCAAAACATAGCCTACGGGTAATTTAATGTGGGAAAAAAGTCTTTTCAACAAATTGTGTTAGCACTATTAAATATCTGTAAAAACAACAACCTCAATCCCCAGTTTACGTATCATCCACAAAATATAATTCAAGAATTAATTCAAGATGGATTATAAATCCCAATTCAGCAGAGCCAAAATATGAATCTAAGGAACTGGGCCTTCTATGGCCTTACAGATAGTTAAATTAAAAAGAAATTCTAATATAATAACAAAATATTACTATGTTAAAGGAACTCTCTCCCTGGGTTAAGTATCACTGAAGACAAGAGTGAGTTCTAAGTGTTGCTTTCATGTAATTTTACCAGCCCCCTTACTCAAAAGGAGTTCCAGTCAAAGGGGGGATCAAATTAGAGACCTATAGTTCACACAACTTCAGTCATTCAACAAGCACTACAAAGCACTATATAGACAAAAATAAGTCATTAGCCTTGCTTATGGGATATCAATGATCACAGTGTTATGTGATCATCACTATGATGAAGATTGAAATTTCTCCAAACAATTTCCAATGGGCAAATACTTGGTCAACATACACATTTTAAGTGAATAAAAGCAGTCTGCTCTTCAGGAAAATAATTATACTGTGTATCCCAACCCCTTAGTCACCTATATTCAGTGGTGTGCTGGTAAATGTTTAAACACTGGTTTTGAGGGAGGGCTGATTTGTAGCGTATGCCAGTTTCCATGGTGTGTTCACTCACTGTGAATGTGACATCACTGAATTGTGACATCACTGAACACAGTTTGGGAAGAGATGCTCAGTAGCACTCCATACTATTTCCACCACATAGACGCAATAAATGTAAATGACCTTAAGGGTATCGATAACAGTAAAACATGGCAATAAGTGATGAGTTTTGAGTATTTTCACAGCTTTTTAAAAATTCTCCCCCCTCCCCTGAAGAAATGCTTACCGATTATTTTTTTGTGCTATTACAGTTGTTCCTGCTTTTTCTCCCTTTCCCCACGGCTTCCCAGCCCCACCCTCTCCCCTCCCTAAATCAATCCCCATATTTTTGTCCGTGTCTGGGGACTGTATGAAAATGCTATTCGGTTAATCCCTTCACCATCTTTCATTGCGTCTCCCACCCTCCCCTCCGGCAGCTGTCCGTCTGTTTCCTGTGTCTAAACGTGCTTATTAATTTTAGAGAGAGAAGGGAAAGGAGGGAGAGAGAGAGGTAGAGAACATAGATGTCAGAAAGAAATACAGATGGGCTGCCTCTCCAACGCGCCCGGACCGGACCAAACCCGCAACCCAGGCATGTGCCCTGACCAGGAATCAAGCCCACAACCTTTCGGTTTCCCGGACAGCGCTCCAACCAACCGAACCACACCAGCCAGGGCCGCTGCCTTCGTTTTAAACATAGCTTACGCAACTTTAAGTTTATATAATTAAATTTTCGATGATAGCTCTGTTTAGTAATCAGTCCTCGTAAGCAACTGCTGAATTGAATATAACTATGAAGCATTCAAAGAAGTAGGGTAAGAAGAACGATTTAAACACATGCTGTATTGCGCAATATATTATTGGGACTCTTTTGGCTACTCAGACTAAATAAAATACTATTTCAAAGTACCACCCCAAGTGTACTATTCTTTGAAAATCATCAATAGCGCCAGGGAAAGCGCCTCGCACGCAAACACTTGCCAGGTGTTTGTGATGAACGTCCAATATGATAAAGAAACCGCCTTAGCCTCAGTGCCAGAGCCTTCCGATAACAGTGACGGAATGTCTCAGGGTTTAGGATTTTGGGGACCGCTCCAGAAGTCTGAACCCAATAGGAGATAACACCCAGGGCCAGTTCGGCCCCAGCCTGGCGCCTGACCTTGGCCGGACCCTGGGATCGGCTGGGCCGGGGCAAAGCCGGGACGCCCTCCCTGCCCCTGAGCTCTTTAGGTTCCCTGGGGAACTCTGTGAGCGTGTGCACCCGCACCCCGCGCGCCGCCCTGAACGGTGACTCCCCGCGGCGCCGGCGGCGCGCGCGCCCGTCCCTACCTTGACTGGACGCGGCCATTTCAGCGATCTCGTCTCGCGATGACTCCCGCGGAGGCTCAGCGCCGTAGGACAAGGAGTGGCGTGCTGTTTTCGCCGCAACCTGGCTTCCGGCACGTGGCGCAGATGTTTCCATTCCCAGCGCCGCAGCGGAAGAGGGCGGGCTAGGCTCGCGCGGTCACTCCCTACCCCCGCCCCCCCGCCCCCTCCCAGCACACGACTGCGTCACAAGGCTCCCCTTGTTGTGTCAAAAGCCCCAAGGCCCCGCCCAGTAGCTGCTAGGAGACGCGCAGGCGCAGAAAGCCTCTCCCGGAGGAGTTTCTCCTTGGAATCTTGATGAGCTTGATACGCACTTAAGTAGGAAGTTTCATGGGCGTGGTCATGACTCCGCCCTTCGCTAGTAAATATTTTATCTATTACTTTACTAAAAATAAAGGAAACAGGCTTGTCATGTTTGTTCATGTGAACATTGAGCAGATATTTATCAGTACCGGCTCTGTGCCTAACACTGTTGTAGTGCAGGAAGACAGTCGTTTTAAAAACAAACAATAACAGAGAAGCTCTCTGAAAGAAAAGAGCTTCATTGTCTGCAGTGCCTACGGAGCTCTTTAACTTTGTGCCAGGGCACATCCCCCCACCTTACCCCTAAACTACTCTCGCTGTCACCCTATCCCAATTAATGGCAACTTCACTGTCCCCGAAACCTTGGTGCTATTCTGAACTCCTCTCAAACCCCACAAATCCAATTTATCAGCAACCCCCATAAACTCTACCTTTACAGTGAATCCAGCCATACCTCACTCCCCCATTGCTACCATCTTAGCCCAGAACACAATCGTGTCTCACCCCAGTAATGAGGTTGACCTGTTCTTACTCTTGTACCCCTTTGAAAGTCTATTTTCTCCACCATCACCAGAAAGATCAGTCTAAAAGGTAGTAGCGGTGAAAAAGGTGAAGAGATTTTTAAAAACGCATAGACAAAAGCTGGGTGAGGGGAAGGTAGAAGACAGTAAATGGGGGATAAATGGTGAGGGGAAGACACTTGACTTTGGATGGTGAATACAATACAATATACAGATGACGTGGTATAGAATTGTACACTTGAAACCTGAACCAGTCCACAGTGCCTGAAGAGTCCCCTTTTGGGGTACATACCAGTTGGAAGGAATCTGACCCTGAGTCCCTCAAGAATAACGCTAATCTTCTTTTGTAACATGGCCTGGTCTCAATATAAAGTGGGCAATGGAGAGGTTTGGCCGTCAATGACACCATTCATTTCTATCCTATCTTGCAATTGGACCTGAACAGAGGTTTCATACATTTAGACTTTCATTGGTTCTCAGAGATGACCCTAAGCTATATGCTGTCAGTAAACTGGAAAAACATACCCAGATGTAAAAAGCATTTCAAATATGGGTAAATGGATTCGTCAGTCCTCTTCAAACATTTGAGTGGCCAGCCAAATATTGAGGTATTAAAAACAACTCTTTGTTGTATGAATAAAGTCTTTACAGGGCCAGAGGTGTGGCAACAGAACATCAAAGCCCACCAAACCCTTTTACCTTTCTTTTTATTTTTAATCATTGTTCAAATACAGTTTTCTCCTTTTTACTCACAATCCAGTCCCCCCTCCCACCCTCCCCACTTCCCTCCCATTACCACCCTCCCCTTAGTTTATGACCATGTGTCCTTTAAGTTTGTTCCTGTGAACCCTTCCCACTGTTCCCTTCAATTCCCTCTACTCCCTTCTCTGGGCACTGTCAGCCTGGCCTCTATTTCAGTGTCTTTGGTTATATTTTGCTTGTTTCTTTGTTTTGTTATTTAGGTTCGTGTTAAAGGTGAGATCATTTGGTATTTGTCTTTCACTGCCTGGCTTGTTTCGCTAAGCATAATGTTTTCCAGCTCCATCCACGCTGTTGCATAGGGTAGGAGCTCCTTCTTTCTTTCTGCTGCATAGAATTCCATTGTGTAAATGTACCATAGTGTTTTGATCCATTCATTTACTGATGGGCATCTTGGTTGCTTCCAGCATCTAGCTATTGTAAATTGTGCCGCTATGAACATTGGGATGTATAGGTTCTTTTGAATTGGTGTTTTAGTATTCTTAGGATAGAGTCCCAGCAGTGGAATCGCAGGGTCAAAAGGCAGATCCATTTTTAGTTTTCTGAGGAAGTTCCATACTGTTTTCCATAGTGGTTGTACCAGTCTGCAGTCCCACCAACAGTGCACTAGGGTCCCCTTTTCTCCACCACCTCTCCAACACTTGTTGTTTGTTGCTTTGTTTATGATGGCCATTCTGTCTGGTGTGAAGTGGTATCTCATTGTGGTTTTAATTTGCATCTCTCAAATAGCTACCGATATTGAACATCGTTTCATGTGTCTTTGGATCTTCTGTATGTCCTCCTTGGAGAAGTGTCTGTTCAAGTCCTTTGTCCACTTTTTAATTGGATTCCTTGTCTTCTTAGAGTGCAGTCTTGTAAGTTCTTTATATATTTTGGAGATTAAACCCTTGTCTGAGGTATCTTTGGCAAATACGTTTTCCCATACAGTTGGTTCTCTTTTAATTTTGATACTGTTTTCTTTAGCTGTGCAGAAGCTTTTAATTTTGATGAGGTCCCATTTGTTTATTCTTTCCTTTATGTCCCTTGCTCTAGGGGACAAGTCAGTAAAAAAGTTTATGTGTGAAATATCTGAGATTTTCCTACCTACATTCTCCTCTAGGACTTTAATGGTGTCACGTTTTATATTAAAGTCTTTTATCTACCTTGAATTTATTTTTGTATATGGTGTGAGTTGGTGCTCAAGTTTCATTTTTTTGCACATGGCTGTCCAGTTCTCCCAACACCATTTGTTGAAGAGGCTATTTTTATTCCATTTTATGTTGCTGCCTCCTTTGTCAAATATTAATTGACCATAGAGACTTGGGCTTATTTCTGGGCTCTCTGTTCTGTTCCATTGGTCTATGTGCCTGTTTTTATGCCAGTACCAGGCTGTTTTGATTACAGTGGCCTTGTAGTATAGTTTAGTGTCGGGTATTGTGATCCCTCCTACTTTACTCTTCTTTCTCAAAATTGCAGCAGCTATTCGGGGTCATTTATAATTCCATATAAATTTTTTGAAGTGTTTGTTCTATGTCTGTGAAATATGCCATTGGTACTTTAATAGGAATTGCATTGAATGTGTAAATTGCTTTGGGTAGTATGGACATTTTGATGATATTAATTCTTCCAATCCATGAACACGGTATATGTTTCCATTTGTTTGTCTCTTCCTTGATTTCTTTCTTCAGTGTTGTGTAGTTTTCTGAATACAGGTCTTTTACCTCTTTGGTTAGGTTTATTCCTAGATATTTTATTTTTCTTTTTCCTATTTCAAATGGGATTTTTTCCTTGATCTCTGCTTCTGCTGTTTCATTGTTGGTGTACAGAAATGCCTTTGATTTCTGGGTATTGACTATGTATCCCGCTGTTTTGCCAAATTCATTTATTAGGTCAAGCAGTTTTTTGGTAGAGTCTATAGGATTTTCTATGTATACTATCTTGTCATCTGCAAAGAGTGACAGTTTTGTTTCCTCCTTTCTGATTTGGATGCCTTTTATTTCTTTTTCTTGTCTGATTGCTGTGGCTAAAACTTCCAGTACTATATTGAATAGAAGTGGTGAAAGTGGACAGCCTTGTCTTGTTCCTGATCTTAGTGGAAAAGATTTTAATTTTTGCCCATTGAGTATGATGTTGGCTGAAGGTCTCTCATATATGGCCTTTATTATGTTGAGGAATGCTCCCTCTATTCCCACTTTGCCGAGTGTTTTTTATCATGAATGGGTGCTGTACCTTATCAAATGCTTTTTCTGCATCAATTGATATGATCATGTGGTTTTTGTCTTTGCTTTTGTTTATGTGATGTATTACATTTACTGACTTGTAAATATTGAACCATCCTTGCATCCCTGGAATGAATCCCACTTGGTCATGGTGTATAATCCTTTTAATATATTATTGGATGCGGTTTGCCAGTATTTTGTTGAGGATTTTAGCGTCAATGTTCATCAGTGATATTGGCCTGAAGTTTTCTTTCTTTGTTGTGTCTTTATTTGGTTTTGGAATTAGGATGATGTTGGCCTCATAAAAAGAGTTTGGGAGACTCCCATCTTTTTGGATTTTTTGGAATAGTCTGTGAAGGATAGGGGTTAGCTCTTCCTTAAATGCTTTGTAGAATTCTCCTGTGAAACCGTCTGGTCCCGGGCTTTTGTGTGTTGGGAGTTTTTTGATTACTGCTTCAATTTCTTTTACTGTTATTGGTCTGTTCAGGCTTTCTGCTTCTTTTCCATTGAGGTTTGGAAGATTATCTTTTTCTAGAAAGTTGTCCATTTCACCTAGGTTTTCAAATTTCTTGGCATACAGCTCTTTGTAGTAATTTCTTGCAATCCTTTGTATTTCTGTGGTATCTGTTGTAATCTCTCCTCTTTCATTTCTGATTGTGTTTATTTGGGTCTTCTTTGTTTTTTTTTTTCATGATGAGTCTGCTTAAAGGCTTGTTGATTTTGTTTATCTTTTCAAAGAACCAGCTCTTGGATTCATTGATCCTTAGAATTGTGCTTTTAGTCTCTGTGTCATTTAATTCTGCTCTGATCTTGGTTATTTCCTTCCTTCTGCTTGCTCTGGGCTGCCTTTGTTGTTGTTCCTCGAGTTTTGTAGACGTAGGGTTAGGTTGTTTGTTTCGAATGTTTCTGACCTTTTTAGGTGGGCCTGTATCGCTATGAACTTCCTTCTCAGGACTGCCTTGGATGTGTCCCATAAGTTTTGGGTTGTTGTGAGTTCGTTTTCATTTGTTTCCAGAAACGTTTTGATTTCTTCCCTAATATCATTCTTGACCCATTCATTGTTTAATAGCATGCTATTTAATCTCCATGATTTTGAGTGTTTTTGTTTTTTTTTCCTTCGGGGTTGGTTTCTAGCTTCAGTCCCTTGTGGTCTGAGAAAATGCTTGGTATGATTTCAATTTTCTTGAAATTCTTGAGGCTTGTTTTGTGTCCTATCATGTGGTCTATCTTTGAGAATGTTCTGTGTACATTTGAAAAGAATGTGTATTTAGCTTCTTATGGATGGAGGGCTCTGTATATATCAGTAAAGTCCATTTCATCAAGGGTATTGTTCAATGCCACAATATCTTTGTTG